TTGCGTAGTTGTGCTTTGAGTCAATTGTTTTGCATGCACATTTAATCATTTAGCAGACGCTTTTATTCAAATGAGGAGAGCAGTAGAAGCAATCGCACCAACTGTAGGGCAACACCTGCAAGCTTATCCTGTATGTCATAATAATGCAATGAAACATGGCAAATTGTGCAGACATCATTTTTGGCCAGGCTGTCATACAAAAAAAATTATGAACACATGCAAAAACGTGAGAGAACCAAGAAAATATTAATAACCCATTATGTTGTAGTCGATAATAACTGATTATGTTGTAGGTTTCTGTGAGCTTTTTGATTTTCTGTGCATTCTTTCATGCATTTTTCACTTCTTTTCCTTTCATTTTCAGCTGTAGTTTGCCTTTTTTGCCAAATCATTTTGTCAAATAAATACCTTAACCAAGTTTAGTGTTTTGTTCTTCCCTCATATGTAAAATATTAAAAAATATATATAAAATATATTCCTCAAAATTTGATGGTTTAATCAAACTTGGTCATTAATTAACAAATATCCCCTCCGGACATCACTTTAGGCCACTACTGTAAATCTATTTTATATATGTATGTATTATATATGTGTGCAATTCTTCACTTTTCATGCAAAATCAATTTCCTTAGAATTTTTTGTTAACATAAATATAGTGAGGTGTATCCATAAAACAATTATTGCCCAAAAAAAAAACTTAATGTAGAAAAATAAATGCAACGTAATTCACTATATTTATCTTGTTTCAAGGATGTTTAAGTATCTTTTGATGAAGGAAATCTTTTTTTTTAGTAAAGTAAAGTTGCCTTCCACTGAAAAGCAAACCTTTTTGTGTATCCAATTTCTGTGCAATGCTGCTTATTTTTGCAAGAAACACAAACAGAATGCCGTGGTTTCGTGAAGTTAATGCATAATGCAAACTTCTTAGTATTTTTGTACTATACATACATATTGCAGTACCACTGTATTTAGGATATTATTTCCATTTGAAACATACTATCGCATCACCCATGATGCGTCCATGCAACTGTGCCTGATTGGCCCCATTTGGATTGACAAGAAGGAGCTGCACAGACCTCTTTGCAGATGTAGAAGTTAAGCAGCACCATGCTGAAGTTGTACACGATGAGTGTTTTTCTGAGCTGAAAAGGCTCGCGGTTCTGCATGTAAAGGGGTCCGGCCCACAGGAACAGCAGGTAGAGGACGCTGATCCCCAGGGTGGGGAGCGGCGATGACATCATCGGCCATTTCTCCACGCGCTTGTCTGAGATTTAAACACATAAAACAGTTCAGTTCAGGAATTCATATTCCGCTTGCAAATTTTTTATATTCTTATATATTGCTAACATATGATTCTGAATATTCTCACCTGCTATGGTAAGGCTCCATTGATAAAACTCTACTGAGTCATTCATGAAGTGAATGACTGTCTCCATGGCTCTAGTACTAAGATGATTTTCCTGTGAAGGAACAAACAGAATAGAAGCAGTTTTAAAGTGATTTTCCTTGCACAACATGAAATGAATTCCTTCAGGACAGCGAGTCGTACAAAGATCATTTCACAAGACTAAATGTTGGATTTTGATTGCTGATCACATAAATGATTCTGTTACACAACAGCTGATCTCAAATGTAATAGTCAGTGTTATTTTAGTATCATTGAGATACTATTATAGTTTTTATTCATGTTTTGAATTGATTTTTTATTTTAAATTTTACGTGTTCAGTTCAATTTTTGTATATTTGTCATCTTGTTGTGCATTTATTATTATTTTGTTAAGTTTTTATCAGTACATCAAGTTAAACTAAATAAAAAAGAGGAATATTGCGTTGGCAACTATCTGAAATAAAATAAGTTAAAGTTTTTTATAGATTATTTTATTTTAGGCAACAAAACTTGTTTTGGTAACCCTTTACTTGAAGACTTTATGTGAAATGCATGATGTATATTATATCTTTTCATAAATAATTTTAAAAGGCGTCATAATATATGCAGATTTCTTGTTACATCTGAATGCATTTACTTTCTAATGGTGTAACATAATAATGTATTATAACTTATAAATGTGGTTACAATTATTCATGCATTACAAGGTATAATTATTGCATTAAAAATACTTTTATAATGCGTTTTAAGAAAAATGTTACAATGATTTTTCTATGGTTTTAGTTTCAGTTAACTATAACAACCCATGCTAAAACATAAAAAATATGTGTTTGTGTTTTGTATGTATTTGATTTTTTTTCCAGATTGAAAGACATACAGTGACAGATGTGTATTACAGACAAGTGGGTGTCACTGTTTTTTCAAGGCTGTCTTTAAATCATCGAGTCACAACTAAATCATATTCCACACCTGAGTGCCAGGTAAGCAGAGTTAGTTTGGGTCACAGACAGTTCACCAGTGTTGTTACATAACCCGCCCGTCTCCCGTGCATTATTTAGCAGCCCTATCGTTTTGCACCAAGACAAACTGAAGGAAAACAGAACAGCTTTATACGGTACTGGTCCCAAATAAAATATAACACGAAAACAACATCTGCCAGGAAAGCAGTGAGAGAATAAGCTGTGCTACAAATACTCGTGGTTACAGTATATCAGGTTAAACTTGATTTTTTTTTTTTTTTTGCATAAGAATATAGTCACACAAATGAAAGAAACAATACATATTCCTGCACATTTACAGTATTCATTGTTGTATGCATACAGTATGGTGTTCCCAAAACATTAGACTCAAGTCATACTTAAAATGTCTGAATGTCATTGGATTTGATGGAAAATATCAAGTGTTCCTGAAATGCTGCAGGATCTTTTCTCTCCACTTTTAGTGGAAATGTTCAAAAAAAATGTTGTACACACCAGGGACAATAACTAACTATTTTAGCTTTAAATGCTCGAGCTCATTACAGCAGGCTGTCAATGTTTTTATCATTCAGCAGCTGGATAAATCGTTCTAAAAAAAGTTATTCCAACTATATTGTTTCTCTGTGCTGTTGTCGTTCTTTTATGTTTAAGGTCCGTTCACACCAAAATGATCAATATAACGATAATATCATTCTGTTTATTCTGTGCGCTTGCTTGACTGTCACTTTAAATGCTCAAGCTCTGAAAGCAGGATTGATTCTGATTGGCTGTCAATGTTTTCATCATTCATCAGCCAGGAAAAAAAAATCGTTCTGAAAGTCCAACCATATCGTTTCTCTGTGCCGTTATCGTTATAGGCTACCTATTCTTTAATACTGAGATTTTGTTTTAGTACTATATCTTTATCGTTATCTTTATAGATCGTCCTTGGTGTGAACGGGCCTAAAAAGGTAGGCTAGCCTATAGTTCACCCAAACATGCTGCTCATAAAATATGTTTTAAAATATGTTTTGAGGGCACTTGGCAATTATGATTATGCAACTATAATTTCACACAGAACGCGTTTTTCCATTCATTTGTGCTATTTTTAATTTAGTTTTACCATTGCGCTGGCGTCTCGCAAGTTAAGACACGTCTCGAGACCTTGCGGGTTTTCCCCATTCCACTGGCCGCATTTCACGTTTTTCAAAGCAAAATGTGAACCAGCCCTAAAACGGAAGAGACGAAGCTCTGGTAAAATAAACATGTCACCGGACAGTGCAAAGTTCCCGTCCGACCCTGGTGAAGACAAAAGCCTCCGTGCGCGTGTGTCAGCAGGTTTCACGAGCATTTGTCAGTCAGGCTTTAATTCCTTTTGATCTACGAGCTTAAAGTGTAAGTACAAATGAACAGCGACCCACATCTGAGGCCGCAGCTCTCAAACGGATGATCACTATGAAGGTTATTATCACCAGCAGATGCTTCAAATACAAGCGATAGCTACTGAGAGGTCTAAAACTTTAACAGAAACGAAGGAATCTATAAGTTGCAGCAGTCAACTGTAGCCAACAGTCTGATAACTATAACTGATATGAGCAAACGAAGCTGAGCATATGAAATGCACTGAATAAAATAAAGGTTCTTCAGCGTTTTTGGCAGTTAGATTCACCCTGTACAACTGTATTGTCAAATCAGATTTATTAGTTAGGCTATTTGTCAATAACTAACATTACTTGCTAATCAATCTGAGTGCATTAGGTTAGGCTACACCAATTAAAGTCGATTTATGAGTTCATCAGGCAGAAATGACAGGTAACAATGATTGGTTCGAGAAAAAAAAGTGGTTTCACGTTATTTTATTGTGTCAGTATTGCAGTGTAATTACATTTAAGCACACAGAGTAATAATAATTAACTATGTACTAGCCTATAGGGTTAGGAGGATGAGGGTTTGGTTTAGGGTTATAGTCGCATGTAATTATGCATAATTTATCGTTATTACTAACTAGCCTATGTAACACCTGTAACAAGAGCACTGTAAAATAAAGTATAGCCTACCCTATATTTTAAGGTGTATTACAGTGTAATTAAGTAGGCCTACTGAATTAACTACATGTAGGCTACTTAATATAGGGTAAAGGTTAAGATGAGGGTTTGGTTTAGTGCAAGATTCTCAAGAACTAGACAATAAAAAGCTATTTGTGGAACTTTTAAAGGTTCGTCTGTGATATCAAGCTTAAAGGCCCTTTAAACGAGCCACTGAATGACTCCAGTACTGAGGGAACATGAGGGAACATGACTAATCTCCATTAAAGCGATTTAACTGGATCTAACATTTTGCAGTGAACGCATTTGCATTTAACTGCATGCAAATGTCCAAGACAAGAACGTAGATCTATAAATCCATATAAATGCACTTGCCACACACAGTCTTACCTTGCGAGCGCTTGCCTATGCCGACATCAGGTGCAGTGCAGCCCAGGTGGAATATGAGAGTGAATAAATGCCTGGATTTAAATCTACAGTGTGCGTTTAAACACATCAACCCCGCAGATTTGGCAATAATAACGCGAAGGCAAACAGAATGTAACTAACGGGACCGGAGCATATGAGGCAAACGCATCTGATCAGTGTAAGCAGACACTGACTGGACACCGGTCTGTCCGGCACTGAGCATGCGCAGTCGCGCCATGTGGGGCTCATGCCGGTGCGCTCGGATAACTCCTTTGTTTAGGCGTCAAAGCTTTGTCTTATCTGGGGAGGTTAATCTATGCATCAGCAGCGCTTATCTATTTGGGTCTAAGCAAAAATATTTCGAATAGGCCTATATGGCTATAGTTTATTTTTTTATTTTTATAAACGTAATAACTAGGCTACTGCTAAGTTTTAATAAAATACATCCAGGTTTGATCATTACTTTATACTCAATTTGTATAAATACAATCGTTTTCATATTTAATGATTTCATAGCTAATAATTATAATTCCAGCTCTACATCATATTGGCATGCTAGTGATGTTTTGTTGTTATATCTACTGAACAATGTGTTTTAAGGATCATTTTCCGCTGACAGGAGAAATTTGTATTAAATAATAAAAAAATATTTCATTGATTTAATAATTTCATTTCTAATAATTAGCCTATTATAATAAATTACATTTATAATATTATATTAGGCTATATTAATTATATTAAGGCCCGGTTTCACATACAGGGCTTAGATTAAACAAGGATTAGACCTTAGTTCAATTAGGGCATTTAAGTAGCTTTTATAAACGTGCCTTAGAAAATAAAATTACTGTGAATCAATGGCACTGACATATTTTAAGAAATTCCCAAATCCATAAAAACTGAGTTAGCCTACCTGTTGCTGAAAATATTTTGTCCCAATGTGAGGACACAATGTAGACACAAGGTGGCAGCAAACCCTAGAAAACATTTGTTTTTAATTATTATTCTTGTAAGTTCAATGTATAGTTCAATGAATTTAGTATTTGCAACAACAACAAAAAAAAAAAACTTTTTCTGATCATATTATGATATCATCAAAAATATCTAAGTTTTAACCACATGGTAGTCTAAAAATCAATCATGTGTTTTTACACAAACTTATGGTATAATGACTACAAAGACCTCAAAATGAGACAGAGCTGAAGTAATAATGTATTTGTATAAATATATGTGATTGGTATGGTCTTAGCTGGTCTTCCAGCCTGGTCTGGTTTCAAAGGCTGGTTTTAGGCTGGGAGACGAGCTGAACACCAGCTTGATCGGGCTGAGATCATAAGACCAGCTGGTTTTAGCAACAACAACAACATTTTTTTTTAGTAGGATCATGTTTGTTGTCACATGACCTCATCATCTTGCATGTTTAATTCAGCTAGTGAAGTCCAGAAAATTATTGTTGTGCATTAATAATCCTTTTTTTTTTTTACTGTTTGTTCAAATAATGCGTCAAGAAAGAGATATTGACTAAAGTTAGTTAGTTCAGGTCTCAGATGAGCGTTCAGGGCTAATCGCATGATTCTCTGTGTGTTTCTGTGGCTCACAGGTGTTCTGTTAACAGCGGGATCACTCACAGCAGGAGCAGATGTGCAGTGTATGAGAGTTCACATCATCTCACCTGTGTTTCACTGACAGCTGAACAACTGTACTGGACAACACAACACACACTACAGGTTTGCTTTCTTTCCTGCATAGTAGATGTGTCCTTCCTTTCTTCCACAACACAATTCTTCCTCACTTACTTACGGTTTTCTTTTTGTACATTACGGTCACAATAGTTCAAAAGTTTGGGGTCTTTTTGAAAGGGATTCATACTTTTATTCATCAAGGATGCATTACATTTTTTTGAGTAAAAAGTTACTTTTTTAAAAAAGTAATGTGTTCAAATATTGCGCTATTCCCTAAAAAAAGCAACTAAAAGTGACTAATGGAAAGTAAAATACTTTTTTATTACTTTTTCTCACCCGGGCTGGACTCTGGTTTGCTTGTTCTATTAACTAAATAAGAAATTTTATATTTGGCCAATGTAAAGGCCATGTCGCACCATAAGTGCCTCAGGCTGAAGGAAATGCAAACTCACGGCTGTACAGTCGAGGGCGCAACTCAAACAAACCTTTCAGCTGTGCTGCCATTCTGGACACTAACAAAACAAAAGAACAAACAAAATGAAACAAATGTAATGTTTAATGTTAAAAGTCATTTTTGATTATTAGTATGGTTGAATTGGATCATCCAAAGACGTTGGTTAATAAAGTGAGATTAAATACATAAAGTGTGTTTGTGTTATTTAACATATTGCAGGTTTGCATATTCTTTCTTGAGCAGCAAATCATCATATTAGAATGATATATGAAGGATCATGTGACACTGAAGACTGGAGTAATGATGCTGAAAATTCAGCTTTGCATCACAGGAATAAATTACATTTTTAAATATATTAAAATAACAAAATGGTTATTTTAAATTGTAATAATATTTTACCATATTACTGTTTTTACTGTATTTTTGAGCCTTGGTGAGCAGCCTTGGTGAGAATAAGAGACTTCTATCAAATACATCAAATATCTTTCTTTCTCGGATTCATTCGCTGTAGTAAACGTCAATGAAGCTCTTTCTCACTTTATGTGTCTGTTGAGATTTGCTTGAGCATTTCCAGGAGACATTCAGCATCTGTGCTTTCTGAGTCATATACAACTGTTGCTCACTTACATCGGGACAGAAATGCATTCCGAATCATAAATTCATGAATTAAGGCTGCACATGTGTTTATGTACAGCAATGGAAGGACACAAACAACACATGGATGTTTTCCTCCAATCCTGTTACATGCAAAGTTACATTTCAATTAAAGCAGCAAAACTCTTTTCAATAATAATGTTTCTTGGTCACCAGATCAGCATATTAGAATGATTTCTGAGGGGTCATGTGACACTGAAGACTGGAGTAATGATGCTGAACATTCAGCTTTGATCACAGGAATAAATGACATTTTACAATATATTCAAATAGAAAACAGTTATTTTAAATTGTAATAATAATATTACTGTTTTTACTGTATTTTTGATCAAATAAATGCAGCCTTGGTGAGCAGAGGAGACTTCTTTCAAAAAGAACTTAATTATTCCAAACTTTTGACCCTTTTTGTATATTTAAACAATTATTGTGCATTAAACACATTATGTTAAGTCAAGCAAATAATGAATTGAAGTTCAGTATCCTGATAATTATCTCAATAAGTCATGGAAACATATAAAGCAAATTTCCTCCGAATTAACTGAACACACATCATGCACACAGAAAAAGCACACCCGCGGGTTATTTTGAAGACACTGTTACATGCCAAAAGTTCATATTTTGTAAGTTCATCCAGACACACATCCAGATGGATGTGAATGTGAGTCGAGGTCCGTTTGTCTGCTGTCTGGTTCTCATTCACAAACTGATTTCATTTTGTGTCGCTTAGGGCTTTTCACTCTCCATTTTATAAAGCTTAACCGAGATCATCCAAACAAACCGAAGGAGTCTTACATTTCAGCTCGTGGGAGTGTGTGTTGTTTTTAAGTGAGATGAAGAAGAGAGAAGGGCCGTGCAGAGGTGATGACGAGTCTCCCGAAAGCCATGTTGATGTGTTTAGTACTGTATGTGCGCTCCATTAAAGAAGCTGCCCTGTTTGTGTCCTCCTCCAGCTTTTACTCGACGGCTGCTGGTCTGACACGTGGAGACGGAAAGAACCCCTGGATGGCACGAGGGAAGGAAAGAAACACAGACAGGGCGATAATGAGTTTCATTGTGAGAGTGAACAGTCTGGTGATGTAGAGCTATAGACACTGCACGTTTCTAGCCACCCGAAAAACAGTTTTCCTATTATTATATATTTATATATGCATGTGTAGATCAAAATAATCAAATTTAGTGATGCAAAGCTGAATATTCAGCAGTATTACTCCAGTCTTCAGTGTCACATGATCCTTCAGAAATCATTCTAATATGATGATTTGATGCTTAAGAAACATTTAACATTATTATCAGTGTTTAAAACAGTTCTGCTGCTTTATATTTTTGTGGAAAGAGTGATGCATTTTATTTTTCAGGATTCTTTGATGAATAGAAAGTTCAAAAGAGCAGCATTTATTGGAGACAGATAATCAGACATGATTTATAATAATAAATGTTTCTTGAGCAGCAAATCATCATATTAGAGTGATTTCTGGAGGATCATGTGACACTGAAGACTGGAGTAATGATGCTGAAAATTCAGCTTTGATCACAGGAATAAATTACATTTTACAATATTCAAATAGAAAACTGTTATTTTGAATTGTAACAATATGTCACAATATTACTGTATTTTTGATCTGACAAATGCAGCCTTTGTGAGCTTATTAAGAGACTTCTTTAAGAGACATTGCAAAACCTTACTGACCCCAAACGTTTAATGTACAGTATATATGATGGATAGAAGAAAATGTACTGCTTATCAGTAATATCCCAGCTTTATGTTTGTGTAAATCGCAGTGAAGTTTGGGCTGAGTGTGTGTTGTGCCTATACAGAAGTGAAGAAGCCATGTGTGCATGTGATGTTTAACTCAGTCAAGATGTGAATCCTTCTCACTCTCACACTGTTGGGAAAGCACAGCATGCTGAGAGACGCTCACACGGGACAACGTGTGTCTCACATGCATTGTTTTACCTGTGTGAATGTGTCTATGAGAAAGAAGGAGAAACAAACATTTGCTTTTATTCGTCATAAGCTTTGAGACTAATCTGTTTACCCAATATCATAGTTTCTACTGCCTGTGTTAAAAGTTTGTAAGTGAATGTTAGTGAATATAGCATCCCGATCTGATTGGGAAAAGACATTGTGGCTTCCAGCTCATTGTTATTTCAGCTGGAACGAGGGCTCTTTTTTTCCAGAGGTTTTTAGCGGTTGTAAAAGCACATTAGTGTGTGTTAGGAAGTGAATGCGCTGAACATGTATCAGAATAAGGGTGCAACTGTTGAACACATGCAGCAAAACCACTCGAGTCCTTAAATGAACTCGGAAAAGGACACACCCTCAGACACAGGCTGAAACACGCCAATGTGGACGAGAGACACTCTATCTAGTCTCTCTCTCTCTTTCCTCCTTTTCTTTCTCTCTGTAATCTTAGTTTTAATTGCAGTTGCTTTTGAGCATGACGAAAAAACATAAAAAAATAGCATTTGTATTGCCAAAGTCTTGACAATTAGATAAAATGCTGCATACACTGACAAAGGGTGCAAAATAAAATGAAATACAAGCAATAGTCTGAATACAGTAATATTAAAAAGTAAATAAAAATACATGAGAAATAACAAGTGTACAATTAGAAAATACAGTAAAATAACAACAGTACAAATGCATGAAAACTTGTAATATTAACAAACAAACTAAATAATACAAGATAAAATAACCTAATGCACTAAGAAAATAATCATTAAATAATTACAAGTACAGTAATTAATAAATAAATAATGGAACAGAAAAGGTGAAATATCTATGGTGTAAAAAAAATGGAGTAAACTAAAATGATTAAATAAAGTAAAATGCAAAATAACAGTAAAAATGCAGTACAGGTAATATTAGCAAACAAACTAAATAATACAAAGTGAAGTAAGTAACTATTAGTCATTGAAAGTAATGATAAATGTAATAAAATAAGTAATATTCCAAATGCAGCAAACAAACAAATGCAGTGCAAATGCAGTAAACAAACAATAGGCTACTAGCAAATAAACTAAATAATGCAAATAAAATAACCTAATACACAAAGAAAGTAATCATTAATTTAATTCACGTGAATACAATCCTTCTTAGGCTAATGAAGAGTCTGTCTTATGATCTGAATATGTTGTTCTTCCCAGTAATGTATGCCAGTCTGTTGCGTCACATGTTGTCTGGCAGACAGCGCAACTTCGCCCTCGCCTTTGTAACGCATTCTCAGAAACGAATTATTGTATTCATGAAAATAAAACCTGGCTGTAAAGGTCGTTGCCGTGTGGACAGGCGAGGCGGCATAATCTAGAGGAGGCGTGTTGACCTTTTTGTTTCGTGTAAAATGATCCAGCATGGAATAAGCAGCCCCATCCAGCACGTCCTGAGTTATCGTTCAATCACGGCCCAGTTTATCAAACGTCGAGCTAATCAGTCTAATGCGTCCTGAGGCTGAGGGAGAGTCGGACTCACGTTGTTATGGAACAAACTGATGCGACCCCTCTGGCTCCACACCGTATGAACCAGTAAATCACACCTCAGCCTTCTCTGATCCTCCCGTGAATCCGCTTCTGTCAAATAAGCTGTCAAGAGGGGTTTTGCCGATCGGTTGTGAAAGCGTAAATCATAATGCGCCTGGTCTGTTGTTCCGATTTTTAGGTGTGTTTCAGTAATGAGAAAAATGTTTGTCACATGCGTATGAAAGTGTTTAGTGTAATGCACTCACAAGCATCACAAAAAAAACATAAAAAATATGTAGCTATCTCACTGTTTTTAAAGTATACTATACCATTCGAAAGACTTTTCAGTGTTTTTGAAATAAGCTCACCAAGGCTGCATTTATTTAATAAAAATTATAAAACGGTAATATTGTGAAATATCATCTGTGAGCTGGTGTGAGTGAGTGGAGGCGGGGCTAATCTGCATATTCATAGAACCTCG